GCTGTACAATGACGTAACATGTAACACTACAGTTTACGGCAAGGCAACCAGACAGACAGCAGAGCTGCTGTACAATGACGTAATATGTGACGATACAGTTTACAGCAAGGCAGCCAGACAGCAGAGCTACTGTACAATGACGTAACATGTGACACCACAGTTTACGGCAAGGCAGCCAGACAGCAGAACTGCTGTACAAGGACGTAATCTGCGACACTACAGTTTACGGTAAGGCAGCCACACAGAAGAACTGTTGTTCAATGACGTAACATGTGACAATACACTTTACGGTAAGGCAGCCAGACAGCAGAGCTGCTATATAATGACGTAACATGTAACACTACAGTTTACGGCAAGGCAGCCAGACAGCAGAACTGATGTACAATGACGTAATAAATGACACTGCAGTTCACGGCACGCCAACTAGATGTAATTAATTTTCAATTGACAAATCTGACATGAATGTGATATAATCATGACCTGTTAATATGTTTACGCATATATTTTTTATGAATATCATAAACACATGTGATGGGTAAATATTGGGTAAATATTACATAAGTTCATTTTACGTAAATTCGATATATGGTTGGTACATTCGGGATGAATGAAGCGTACGTGTGTTGACCATTACACATAACCACTTATATATACTCAGTGGTGGCGGCACCGAGGGGGGGGGGGCAGAGGAAAAAAATGTAGCCCCTGCAAAATCTAGCTAAAACCCTTTGTGTCAGCAAAATGTGCCCATCAAAATGCAGGAAATAGCGTTTAAAAGGGTATAGATTTCAATTTGTTAAGGGGGCTTGCCCGGACCGCCTAGTAAGGTCGCGCTTTCGGCACGAGGGCGATGAGTAGATCTCGTCCCGCCATGTAAAATTTAATGCCGCCGCGGGGAATGGATTTCGTTAAACGGAGATGTAAGTGATTATTCTGGTTATTGTATTCAGTGTATATCATCTAACAGGCATGTTATACAAATATTACGGCTCAAATATGAGCGCCTGTGTTCTCTAACGTCGGACAAATTATACTCGGCACATATGCTTATATTCGTGACAATGAATGGATTACTATGCACTTATTTATACCATGGTGTAATCTTTCAAGCGCATGTCGTATTTCGTCACATAATCGTCACATAACATATCAAACGTTTATACTACATACATATGTACACTCTTAACTTAGGAATATACACGAATGTCCAATTAAGTACTTGTTCAAATGAGGAAGGTTTTGATACTATTCAATTACGGTACATAAACATCTACTAAACCTGTAGTACTAGTATGTCCAAGTACATCTTGTATTTCATATGTTCATATTTCCACAATATAAACTTACCTAGTTCAAGATTCAATATGTTGATGGTTGATCAACCGTATGAGTCAATTTTACAAGCTTGATTCGAGTGAATTCAATGTAATAGACAGTCAGGGTGGTACGTGGTAATACCGATGAGAGCATGGTTAATAATAGCCGTGTGGTTGATGTTTAACTACTTATGACGCAGCTTGAATAAACTATATAGATTCAGGTCCGGGCAGATTAAAACTAGATATCACTCGACCCAAACAAACGTAGCGCCTGTTGGAACATATTCACTTCGTCAGCTCTCTTGTAGGACGTCTGATTTATTTACGGGTGTAAAGTCCAGAGTAAATGTCATAGATTGGATGTATATTAGGTTAAATTATCCGTCTTTGCATTTGCATTTAGTTGCTCGGCTGGATGTATATATAGACAAGAAAGTTTTTTATTATATGTTTTTCTCCCTCAGAGTTTCTTATTATCAACTCATTATTCGATTTAACATTTTCTACGTCATTGGACGTTTGTTGGAATGACAATCATGAATGACACAGCATTTCCTCTTGTCAAGTACACGGAAGCTACAATTATAATTTATGTTGGAGCAAACACCATGTGAGTCGATCACATGACGTCACGTATATTTGCTTGCCTCTGTACGTGGTAATTCCATAGCAATATTTGAAGAATAATTAAAATACCACGCCGACAAAAATCAAACTGACTCGTTTTAAAAACAATCATCTAATATCAAACAATTAAATGTCAATATCACAATTATTTGCAATTGTCATAGACTCGTATGGAAAGGCTTAATACTCAAATAAATATGTTTTAAGTAAAGATGAAAAAGTAATGACTTGTGACGATGAATGGATAATGATTTGTAAGTGAAGATAAAAAAGTAATGACTTGTAAGTGACGATGACTGGGTAATGACTTGTAAGTGACGATGAATGGGTAATGACTTGTAAGTGACGATGAATGGATAATGACTTGTAAGTGAAGATTAATGGGAGATGACATATAAGTGACGATGAATGGGTAATGACATGTAAGTGACGATGAATGGGTAATGACATGTAAGTGAAGATGAAAAAGTAATGACTTGTAAGTGAAGATGAATGGGTAATGACATGTAAGTGACGATGAAAAAGTAATGACTTGTAAGTGACGATGAATGGATAATGACTTGTAAGTAAAGATGAAAAAGTAATGACTTGTAAGTGACGATGACTGGGTAATGACTTGTAAGTGACGATGAATGGGTAATGACTTGTAAGTGACGATGAATGGATAATGACTTGTAAGTGAAGATTAATGGGAGATGACATGTAAGTGACGATGAATGGGTAATGACATGTAAGTGACGATGAATGGGTAATGACATGTAAGTGAAGATGAAAAAGTAATGACTTGTAAGTGAAGATGAATGGGTAATGACATGTAAGTGACGATGAAAAAGTAATGACTTGTAAGTGACGATGAATGGATAATGACTTGTAAGTAAAGATGAAAAAGTAATGACTTGTAAGTGACGATGAATGGATAATGACATGTAAGTGAAGATGAAAAAGTAATGACTTGTGATGATGAATGTATAATGACTTGTAAGTGAAGATGAAAAAGTAATGACTTGTAAGTGACGATGACTGGGTAATGACTTGTAAGTGAAGATGAATGGGTAATGACATGTAAGTGAAGATGAAAAAGTAATGACTTGTAAGTGTCGACGAATGGGTAATGACTTGTAAGTGAAGATGAAAAAGTAATGACTTGTAAGTGACGATGAATAGGTAATGACTTGTAAGTGAAGATGAAAAAGTAATGACTTGTAAGTGACGATGAATGGATAATGACTTGTAAGTGAAGATGAATGAATGATATAGTTTACAAGTTACACGAATCACTGTTTGGCATTCCCATTCGCTTTGTATGAATTATTTCAGATTTAATACAAATATATATATATAGACCTCTTGACAGTGACGATGAATGGATAATGACTTGTAAGTGAAGATGAATGGGTTAGGATTTGTAAGTGAAGATGAATGAGTAATGACTTGTAAGTGAAGATGAATGAGTAATGACTTGTAAGTGAAGATGAATGAGTAATGACTTGTAAGTGACGATGAATGGGTAATGACTTGTAAGTGACGATGAATGGGTAATGACTTGTAAGTGACGATGAATGGGTAATGACATGTAAGTGACGATGAATGGGTAATGACATGTAAGTGACGATGAATGGGTAATGACTTGTAAGTGACGATGAATGAGTAATGACTTGTAAGTAAAGATGAATGGATAATGACTTGTAAGTAAAGATGAATGGATATTGACTTGTAAATAAAGATGAATGGATAATGACTTGTAAGTGACGATGAAAAAGTAATGACTTGTAAGTGACGATGAATGGATAATGACTTGTAAGTGACGATGAAAAAGTAATGACTTGTAAGTGACGATGAAAAAGTAATGAATTGTAAGTGACGATGAATGGATAATGACTTGTAAGTGACGATGAATGGATAATTACTTGTAAGTAAAGATGAATGAGTAATGACTTGTAAGTAAAGATGAATGGATAATGACTTGTAAGTAAAGATGAATGGATAATGACTTGTAAGTAAAGATGAATGGATATTGACTTGTAAATAAAGATGAATGGATAATGACTTGTAAGTGAAGATGAAAAAGTAACGACTTGTAAGTAAAGATGAAAAAGTAATGACTTGTAAGTGACGATGAAAAAGTAATGACTTGTAAGTGACGATGAAAAAGTAATGACTTGTAAGTGACGATGAAAAAGTAATGACTTGTAAGTGACGATGAATGGATAATGACTTGTAAGTGACGATGAATGGATAATAAGTGAAGATGAATGAGTAATGACTTGTAAGTGACGATGAGAGAC